TGTTTGTCAGACAAAAGAGGCGATTCAAAGACAGCACCTTAGTCTTCAGGAAACTGTGATGTGGTATTTTTCAGTAGTTTTTGACAATTTATATAGACCAAACCATTAAAGCTGCTGTAGATAACTTTAAAAAAAAAAGTTTCAATATATCCTGGGACAGATAATCTGCAAAAAAAAACAAAAAAAAAACAGCTTCTTCGGCTCCTACTGGCTAATGGCATTTAAAAAGAATCAGAGCCAAGAAAGCTAGTTTATTGTTGTGTCTCATTCCCAAAGTGTTGGTATTTGACTATCAACTCACTATCTTTCTTGGCTCTGATTGGTTACTTTCATTCAGATGGGGTGGATTCTTGCAAATTGCCATTGGGAGCACTCGGATGAGCCAGAGGAACTCTTGTTTTCTTTCTTCAGAGTGTCTGTCTCATGTACTACAGTCAGTATAAAGTGAAAGTTTCTTCAAATATAACAAAAAGTAAACTTTCTGTAAAAGTTACCAACTGCAGCTTTAAGCAAGAAAATAATTGTTAATTGCAGCCCTACAACCAATAGTAACAGCTTAAACTGATACTAGAAGTACATTTGATTTTGTTTCAGATATTCCACATTAATTACCCAGCGGAGGGACCCTTACCTCGTGGTACTGATGGACATGCTTTCCGTAACAGAATTCATATTTCCACCACCCGACCCCCTGAAACACGCACATTAAGATGATTACACATCATTAAATAGTTGATTAAACACTGCTCAGGTGCCATAGATGAACACGCCTCACCCCGTGCAGACAGTACGAGCCGCTGAGGAACTCCTTGATCAGCTGGTCATCTGTCAGACGAGAGATGTGTGTGGTGCCGACAGTGACCTGAGTCTGGCCTCCGACGGTCATGGGTTTGTGAGTGGAGGTGAAGGCCTCCTCTCTCACTGGTGGCGCCTCCTCCTGTAACGTGTCAGATATACAGTATGTGAGCCAGGCGTCGTCGGAACACGTACATTTTCCTCTCTGTCCTCTTTTTGTGCCTGTCTTACCTCTCTGGCCCCGACCGTGGCACTGAAAGGCGGTTTAAGCTGCTCCTCTTGCTCCTTGTCCCATTGAGCGAGCCGCTGAGGCCGCTGAGGGGAGCCTGACAGAGCTTGGCAGAAGATGGCGTTCACCGGGGAAGACTTGAACCTGAAAGGAATATATATATATATAAAGCATTTCAGAATCTCTAACTTTCTTCTACTACTGAGGTGTATTCCTTTGAGTACAATATTAAATGTAGTCACTGTGACAGATCTACCTGTATTTTGGGTGTGAACAAAGCAGGGGTGTCAACACCACCACCTCATATTCACAGGTGGTGACCTCGGCGACAGACAAGATCTCATGCTTGGCCTCTGGATGACAGACGTACAGCACAGACGTGGAGCGAGCCTCGTTCTGTTTCAGCACACAAGGGGTCCCATTTCCCATCTCCAATGAGAAGTAGGGAGTCAGCTGACCTTCTATATTCTTCGAGGGCACCTGGACACCAGCGGAAAGAGTGACAGAAACAGAAAAAAAAGACGTCAAGTGTGAGAATCGATCCTGGCAAATTTGGTTGGTTATTGAAGTTTCATTATAATACTTACTTCTGTTTCAGGTGCGGGTTTGACATTTTCTGCCTCTTCAGCGTTATCTGAAAAAATAAATGTCTACCTTTAGCACAATAAGGAAAAACTAAAAAACTAGTATTCAAAATAATAAAAACAGAATATATCAAAACAATTAAACGTACAAAAGACACTGACCTGCCTCTGCCGACTGGCTCTTCTGTGCCATATTCCCCAGGAAGTACTCCTGAACACTGATCTTCTGAAACACACGATTACCTTCAGTACACACTCTACTAAACGCTGGCGTCTCATTTGTGTCATCTGAAAAAGATTTCAGCCACTCAAAACACTTACCTGACCAGTCTCCTTCTCTTCATGATACTGCCTTATATGCTTTCCATGGCATACTTCATATGTCCAGTATGACTCGATCTGCAATGTCGACAAGCCAAGAGCAAGTTTAGAGTACAAGTCAGCAAACCCCCTCAGCATTACAGCAGAAAAACAGCATTACGTTTTTAGTCGCGCTCCACTAACGTAGCGCGACCGCTGTCAGTTTCGGTCTTTGCACTGAGAGAAGGAGGGAAATGAGATGAAAATGAAACTCTCACCCTGTAGGAACAGCTGCTTCGTTTGAAAAGTGGCTCTAGCAGTTCACCTGGAGTGGGCCCACTGTACTCCTTATCATCATCCTAAGATAAGTGAGAGACATAAGGCAGGGTAAGGGAGCTGTGTCAGTGAACACAACAGCAATACAAAAACATGGGGATCACAAAATTGTTGCTAGACTCAAACGAAGGAGCCGGTTAATGCAGTATTGTCAAACTAGGGATCTAATTAAAACCGGTCTGATCTCTCCTGGAAAAACATGCTTCTATCAAGAAAACCATTCATTGGAATAAGTGCACCTGAGGAAAATGGAGAACAGTATGTACACTAGGGAGAAAGTGCCTTGCATTAACCCAGTGGGCCAAAATTGAGCTGTTCTGCCTGATATATAAATAACTTGGGTCATAAAACCTGTAATGTGTTAATAAGAAAGTGTTAATCCTGCTTACCTCGTCTCCAGTTGTCAGGGAAGGCAGGAGACATTTATACTTCTCTTTCTCTGTCGTTGTCATGATAACAAAGTCATCTTCCTTGTACAGTACTCCTGAAGTTGACTGAAATCAACAGCAAACACATCTGTGACACTAACAGCAGCGTGGAGTACGAAAGAAAGAGGAAACTAGCGTACAGGTGACTAACATCTCTCTCACCTCTTATAGAACATTTGTGTCTAAACAAACAAACAGTGTTAATAAAAAAAGGAGGCATACCAGCGTGAATTCAGAGCCCGGCCAGGTGATTTTGAAAGGTATTTCGTCTGTAAAGGAGGGATAACCGCCTCTGTTTGCTGAGACGCCGCTGCAGACCTCCAGCAACCCCCCGAGAAACACCATCAGCAGCCCAGCCATCATCTCTCCTGTCCGGCTGCTGAGCTCCTACAGTCCGCTGCTCATGTAAGACCAACAACGACTTCAAAGCTACTATTACAAAGTCCGAGGAAGTCCTGGTTTGACAGACGTGAGCTACTGCCGTGTGAGAAGGATGTCAATACGGCACAAAACACAGGAAGTGAACTGTTTACTTGCCACGTCGTGTTCCGCCCTTGCGTCGGGCTGAAACAACAGCAGCGCCCCCTGGTGGCCACATGAGGCAACGACAAGAGGTTTGATACCTGGAGCAGAAACAACAAATGAAACGAGTGAAACTCTGGAGTTATGGCTGTAGAAGTAATTGTTTTTTTAATTAAACAACAGTTGTAATATATTATAAAATGTTATTATTATTCTTATTTTTTAAATCATTTTAAACTCTTTTCTACCATGCTTTGCAAATACACACTGCTGAATCGTATATTATTATACATTTTACATTCACTCAGTTTCAATTATGTGAGCTATAATTTTACTATGCAGGAATCATTACTAGCAATATTTATGCTATGAAATACCAAATAGGCTACATGTTGTGGAAATATGCATACAATTTGTGCAATCAGATAATTTTTTCACACATACAGTTAAAATGGGAAAGCTTAGGTTAATGAATGGTAAAATATATAATCTGGAGGTTAATATAGTACAATATAACCAGTATTAACCAGTATAAAAATATGTGTGAAGTTCCAATGGCAGGGTCTGATTAATGTAAATATAGATCTTTAAGTTGCAAATGTACTTCTGTTGTACAGTTTTCACGGGTGAATCACACTTTCCTCAATGCCGTGCTAAACTTAACCTTATCACCATATCATAAAGCTGTGACTGAACACAGAACACAGCTTGCCTGAAGCATTTTGCTCTTTTTGAGTTGGAATGCTTGAGAGGTTCCCAGATCATGTAGAAAAGGTATGTTGCCTCATCTCTGCCTCCCAGTGGATGGATTTGGAAGTTTAATTGTGTCATCGTGTGTGCTGAATACATACAAGTACTTGAAGATGAAAGGCAGTATGAAGATATAAAGTATAAAATATCCTGTTGAGAAGATGATCTACTGAGCATTTCCTGCATATGTTAGTTGACTTATATGCAGGCGATGATGAGACCAGCTCTGTGCCAACGTGCAGTGTCCTTACTCTTATCCTGTGACTCTGTTGATTCAGCATTGCTGTGTGTTGAATGACAATAAATAACCCCCACCACCACCACCACCACCACCACCACCTGAACAGCTCACATGAAAGCAGCTCTCAGTTAACGGGAAATTTAACACATAGACCTTGAAAATACGGGGTGTGCGTTTCACTGTCAGGGGGGAAACGCAGAGAGCGCCTTGAACTGATGGAAACGTGGAGCGTAAACCTGAGGTGGACATTTTTCCACCTGTTGGTGGAGCTGTTGATGTGAGAATGTGAAGCACAGGAGCCAAGAGAAAGGAGAGAGATTATGGCAGAGATTTTGAGACAAAGAGTGAGAGGATTGGGAGGAGAAAGGGATATGGAGGAACAGGGAAGGATACAAGCAAGAGAACGTCCCACTGGACCATTTGGCCTCTACAACCACACCCCTCTGCTACATACATATAGCTTCTACTCACACCTGTCTGCATATGGATGTAAATGTTTACACAGCCTGGATGTGTGCATATAGTATGTACTACGTTCCAGATGGCTTAGATAAAATAGATTTAATATGTAAGATGACAGATCAATAAGTAGATAGACAGACAGACAGTGTTTAATTTCTATGGTAACTATTCATTTGCCATTGAATTATGATGTTTTCTCAGGGTTTTTTCTTGTCTGATAAACAACGGTGGGAGTAATCTTATGACAGAATATTTATAACTTATTCCTAATTTAGTGTAAAAACATCTTGACCTTGGAGTAGTTTCAGAAAAGATCTTAACTCAAGGTCCACTTACTAGCTTTTTCTAGAGCTTTTACCAGCTTTTCAGGATCTTCCACAGCAGGTTGGAGTAGAGTTTTCTCAGTTTTTTGTGGAATTTGCACAGGTATTGCATTTTGTTACTTTTAGACAGCGCTAGACATTGGCTCTATATAGGGCCTTTTCACGTTTTTTGCTATTTACGCAGTTTCTCCTACAGGACTGGAAGGGAAAGGTGAGGCGAGGGGGTTGTAATCT